AAGTTTAACATAACAGCAAATGTACAACGTTTATGTACATTTGCTGTTATGTTAAACTTATATTAAAGTTTTTCTTCATTACCCATTCGAGCCGTCTCCAGCCATTATTAGTCTCAAAGTGGGTTCCTAGTCATCGAAAATAAATATTAGTTGAGACCTGTATACAGCTATGTGGGACTATCAGCTTTTGCAAGTTGTAGTTAATGCTTTACTTATAAAGCAAAACTGTAAACACATGGTTATGAAATTAGATTAAATTATTAGCTTTAAGACTTTGTTCCAATAATATCATGTTGATCGACATCATACCAATACGCCCTCTGGCTGCAATTCGTGGAACTATGGCATAATTATCCCTGGTGTCTATGACGTCATCGTCTCTAATCCTCCCCCATTGCCTGATGTTAACTCACATATATAGCCCTCTGGCAGTGTGCCGTGCAACAATTGCCCTGACTACTAGTATGGCAGAAGGAAGAATCAATCCAGGATAAAGAAAATGTCAGCAGCTTTATTATACGAGGAATGTCAAAGAAAGCAAATGCCAGCATTAGGTTTGATGGGATTTTCTGGAGACTCATTAAGCTTAATTAGAAGTCCGCGATTTTTTCTAGCTAAATCCCATACAGTAGCTATAACATTAATGTCTGTCTTCTCAACTATTTTATCTATGTCCAACAGAGTGATTGTTCCGAAGATGCCACCACATTGAAACTAGACTGGCTGCTTCCAATTTATAATGAGACCTCTCGCCAAAATAAGTTGTTCACAGGGGCCATACACCTTGTCTTCACCTGGATCATATAGAAAGAAAACTATGTTGGGCTTATCAAAATCTGGTAGTAATATTGTTTTGTTTCCCATAAAAAGAAATAACTGAGTATTGAATCCTGGTATACAAGTAAAAATTTTACTTATCATTTTAGTGTTGTAAGACAAGGCAGTGGGTAACCTCTGGAATGAAGCATCTTGTAGGCTTTCTTGAAACTACTCAGAAGCTTAAAGCAAAGCTAGATCTTTTTTCTTCAAACAATTTTACGTTTCATTAACAATTTTCTTTATTTAATTAAGCTGATGTGAAAATACCAATCACTTAAGATATTTCCTACTTGTATCAGTCTATTTGATGATATTCTTTCCTTTAGTTGTTAAATATCTTTTATCAAAGCTTGGAGACGGGGTTTTTCTTTTTGACACCATGATAACAAATTCTGTTCTGTTTCAAACCTCACACTTAATCTTAAATCATCGGAGCAATTTGTACATTTGAAGGCTTTTTGTAGTAATTTTGGATTCATTTTTATCAGTCTGGCTGCACTGAAACGTAGATTCATTAACTGTTCTCCTATTGTCTTTTTATATATTTCACTTCTCACATCAGCACTTTTGATTGACAGTTGCTAATGTCACCGAATACGAATCGATATTAAGCAAAATCTTTGATGAGCATATGTTACTTTTACGTTTTCGATGAAGATTTCTTAGTTTTTGCTTTCATATTCATCTCAAGCTTTTTCTCCAAGAAATTAATAGAGCAACTCAGGTCAGTGTCTGGATTAATACTGCCTGCTCAAGGGTAAGCATGAACCTAAGCTTTGTGTAAAAGGTTACATTTTTCGATGAATTTTGGAATAAAAGTCCGTTTTCTTATAGATTCTTGATTTCTGTAACTTGCAATTGCACACTCTGGCATAGTAACATACACCATAACTTAAACTTTAAACAAAATAAACGTAAAGAATATCTAGTATACTGATTCATTTAAAACACAGTGTAGTCTCACAACTATGTAGTGCAGCTGTTAAAATATGACTATGTTCTTCAGTGAAAAACTAATACTCGCCAATGACGTCATTGTTTGACAAGGAAGAGAAGCCTTTCCCAACAAATGGATTAATCTAATCTTATTACATTGTGCTTCTATAGGCCTTAAATCCATCGGTCCTCGGGATAAATGTAACCTGGCAGATTTCGTTGTGTTGAGGCATTATGCTGGGATCATCTGGTGGATGTGACTGACAAAGAGGTTCAATAAGTTATCAGTAGAGGGTAAGAATTTGTGAGGGGTTCTCACTGGCATGGAGTGAGGTCAGCAAGTATGAACCTTTGATACAGAAAACAGTGGTGAGCATATTAGGTTCGAATATCAAGAAGATAAATTGGTGGCAAAGAGGTAGTTTGACATGAAAAACGATGTGAAGAGCATGACTTTCCAGTCCCTAGAGGCAACGATAAAAGTTGGAAGAAACAGAGTCAGATAGTGTGACTGTATGTAAGGCAGAGACGCATGAAAGTCTTGTATGTATACAACAGAAGAGGCAGATTCAAATCTCAATAATTCCTGATAACCAATGCAGAAGATGGAGATGGAAGGGGTCTTCTTGTTGATAACCATCATCTTAGCTTTCCGGATACGATGTTTGTCAAAAATAACTGTGAGATATTTGACAATATCCAAAACTGAATGTGAACTTTGACATCTCAAACATTAAAGATAAACGGATTGCGACAAGGACGGAATTTGTGCTGAGTATGACCAAAAAATGCAGCTCTGGTTTTGGTGACAGCAGTGGAAAACGCCAACAAAAGCATTAAGCCAAAAAAGTGTTAATAGCAAAGTGTAGAACTCTTTAGAGGGTGATCATTATTGGGCAGGTGGTGACAAGAGTTGAACTATTTGTATATTGGAATTGTTCATATACAACGCCCTCAATGAAGAATAAATGTAAATATTATATGTATGGTGTTTTGAGATGTTTTATTTACCACAATGAATCTATATTTATATATGATTTGAAGAATATGTAGTTTTGATTCTATTAATTTATTGTTATGAATTATTCAGCCGACAAACATCAATATATACTCCACCATTATATGAAGCCTATCTTATTCTTTTGATTTGTTTTTGCCCATGGTTACTGATGAGGTGTGAGATTATCTGAAACCGTTATAACTCAGTGATAAGTGGTAAAGTTGGGCTTCCCATTTATTTTTAAACATAGCTATGGTTTTCGTGAAAAATTGAGTTTTTTCGTGATTGAGGAAAAAGAATAAGATTGTTTAAGCCAAAGACATAGTTGAAGCAATTTTTAAAGATCCTACTGATGATGGTTGATAGAGTTTAATGTGAGGACAAAAACCAGTTTTGTCCACCCAGGAGGACAATATATTGTTAATTTATTGCAGATTTTGAATTCTCAAAAAACAAAGTTCCTAACTTGTGGAATCATGCGTTTATAATAAGTAGATTCGAAATTCTGTGAAAAAATGGTATATGTTGAAATACTGAAAGATAAATGAATTACACTATTTTGGGCACAATGAAGGGTAAAATAATGCCATTGACTCTTACAGAAATATACTACTACTATGTATGTATATACCTTGTAGACCTTAGGTAATTACTTCGTGAAAAATCTTTGCTTATTCCAGTAAGATGATAATATACATTTATTTTAAACTTGGTAAAAGCAATGTCAAATGGTGTTATAAAGTGATTGAACTTGCCTCTGTGGACTTTGACTATAAGGAGACAATTATTTAAAGCTCTGGATACAACCGTGGTAACCAACAGTTATTGTGGTGATTTTAAAGTGAATACCATAGCCTTGTATTTTAACAACAGGGATAGAGGAGAACCATTTGTCTTGTCAAAGGATGTTCTAAAGTAATTGAACCGCCGAAAAAAAAAAGAGACGATTATTTAAAGCTCTGGATACAACTGTTATAACCAATAGTGTAACGAGGTTTTGTACTTAAGTTTGACTTGTTTTGAATATATTATTTTAAAACAAGTGGATTGTGTGCTGTCCGTTTATTGTTCGAATTTATCGCCAACAACTCACAGACACCTACTGTAAATAATTCGGCCCCATAAAACTGGCAAGCAACATCAGCTATAATAGCTTTTATACACTCACATAGATTATTATTTCGACCTCTATTGTTGATATAAGCATTGCGATTTTTATATGATAAGCGAAACAAAACTTTTGTAATATTTTCTGGATTTTTTCAGAACATGAAGAACCAGATCATGACAACAAATATGTGGGTAAATCAGGTGTGTTTAAATTTTTATTTTAATAATAGCCGTTTCCTTTAAGCAGGTAAGATCTTATCATTTTTAAATAATGTTGGCAAGTTATTTTATGTTTTTAGTTGGTTCAGAAGTTGTAGATATTTAGATAAACATTATCTCCCATCATTAAGTATGCTGTAATTAATACTAATTCGAAATGTACATACATGTGTTACAATTAACGAAAGTTATATAACGTTTTTTCTTCGATATAATGCGCTTTCAAAATCTTAATTTCGCTTACATTAACAAGTCCTTTTTTGTTGTTAAAATAGCATCAGTAAATATTTGTTCGGTTTGACAAAAATCTCATTTATTAATTGCGTTGCTATTGGAAAGGCTGAGTAAATGACATCGTAGATTGACTTCACGGTGTGAATTGAACACTTGAAAAAAGCAAAGGTTTTAAAAATATTTGAGATCCCAATATATCTTGATAGCCTCGTGGGTTTTGTGAATAAGAATCCAACATTGTAAGTGGTTAGTGTTTCATGCTGCGATCAAAGTAGCTGTTGAACACTTTCTAACATTTCAGTTGTATGAGTGTTATAACAGTAGTAGGCTTTTTGTTTGTTTCTTTATGAATTTCGCGCAAAGCTACTCAGGGATTATCTGCACTAGCCGTCCTAATTTAGAAGCGATAAACTACCGAGAAGACAGCTAAGTCAATATCACCAACTGCCAATTCTTAGACCACTCTTTTTTACCAATGAAGAGCGAGATTGACTGTCATATTATAACGCCTCCACGGCCGAAAGGATGAGCATATTCGATAACGGTATACATATTGCGAGTAGACACCCCTAACCACCAAGCCATGCCAGGCCCGAATGATGGACATTCTCTATAATTGATTCAAAGAGCTAAACATAGCCTTTGTGGGGTTGGGGTTACTGACTTCCTGTCTTCTCTCTTGCCAGTTGTTTGTAATTGGACACAGCTATACCTAAATTCTTGAGATTACTGATGTGAAAGTTAAGTGTGCGAGTGCATAAAGTGCTTTTTAGGTTAAAAGTTCTAATATTTAAAAAATAAATAAATCACTGGACATAACACGAATTTGATCTTTTGATATTTAGTGTTTTTAATTTTCAAGTGGTCCTGTCTTTTTCAGTTTCATCAATGTTTATTTTCTTTTTTATTATAAATTTTATTTCCATAAATTTTAACAAAACTCGATTTCGATAAAGCCTCAAATATGTTTCATTTCAGGAATGGTCCGACCACAAACTTAGATGGGATCCTCGAGAATATGGAGGGGTCCGTCAGCTATATGTCCCCGCAGAACAAATATGGTTACCAGATATTGTGCTCTACAACAGGTAACATGTTTTGTATATATCAAAACTAAACCTTATGTTAGGGTCAATTTGATTCAAATTTTTAAAAATATTCCAAAATCAAGGGATCTTTAAGTAACTAAATGGGTAAAGAGGGTTAACTTTCCAAGAAAGAACATCACGACATTTTATCAATCATCATAAACAGTGTGTGTAACGCCAAAATACAGGGTGGTTATATGGTCAGCATGGTTACTTGAAACAGTTTTAAGGTGAACCATGTCATGTACAAACGAAATATTTTGTGTACATGCATAAATGAACATGATCTGTGCATCTCATTTACTTCTGTAAATAACACGAGGCGACGCCACTATGAGAACTGTACAAGTTTGCCAGCATAATTTTCTGCTGTTGCATCCATTCTCATAACACAATATTGCACCTTCTATGATCCATTATCATGTACACATACTATTTCGCCCGTATGACTTTATAACATGTAGAATAATGTTAAAGTTGGCTGAGTAAGTATAACATCAAAGGGTAGCATCAATAGACTGGAAAATATACCAAAGACAGTCTGGGTAACTTAAAAAATAAACTATTAAACCACTTAACAAAATGTTCTTCTAACCATTAATGGGGAAAGTATGTCACTAAACAATCTTTGATTGATAGAAAAATAGTTTTTACTCATTTACATAATAGTCAGTGCAGGATAATCGCATTAGAGCATTCTAAACATAAAATAATCCATTCTTGCAGAGTTATACTAAACTCCAGCAGAATCGACTGTATAAAAAAAACAAATCATTACAATTTTTAATCACACGATCAAATACTGGTTAAAACATTTCTGGAAATGAAAAGTACGTGTTGGTTTTTAGCATCAGACAATAAGTAGTTGCAAACCAGTTGGATGTTTTCATCCTTTAACTTGAACGTTAAAAAGCGACAACATAATTCGGCATGATGAACGATTATACTACATGTTTGAACGTAGTTTGAATAAATGAAAAAAAAAATTAAACGAAGACGTGTGCGAATCAATTAACGATAATTTCAGTTGCCTTTTTTAACTAACATGATTATCTAAGCATTTCTAATATATGACTACTCAACCTACTTAAATATTCCAGTTTAGCTTCCTAAAAAAGACAAAAAGTTTCTAATGGTAAATATATCAACAAACTAGTAAGTTAAAATAATAAATATACAACATTAAAAATAAATACACAATTAAGATTATATCAAAATAATGACTGTATGTGTTTCGACGTGTCACACATCACTTTCATTATTTTGATATGATTTTAATTGTGTATTGATTTTAACGTTGTATATTTATTATTTTAACTTTATACACAAGTAAGTTCTTAAAATGATTTATTATTTTCTATTCATATTTAAATCACAGACCCGTAGGAAGAATGTTTGATAATTTGTGAGATAAAAAAGCAAACACATATTGTGCGTAGCACAATCATGCTAATGCTACGGGTGTTTGGGGGCATGTACCCCAGAAAATGTGTAAAATCTAGGTGCTATGAGATTAAATCTGCAAGCAATTTTGCATAAAATCCACAAACATCCAATGAAAAGTCAACAAATCATCATTCTGTTGGAACACTGCATGGGGAGCTAGACATAAATTAACATAAATATGCATGTTTTATTATAGTAAAGTACTGTACTATCTATATGCAGAGTAGTTATTAATTGTTAAATTATATTAATAATTCAAACAACTCTGTACAATAACAGCATGTTAGCTATTTGAATCATTGGCTATCATATATGTACATGTATGCACTACTGAAATAACATGTTAGCATGCTCCATTATTTTGGTGTGCTTTTCCATAAATAACTTACATACAGTTTCAATGTTGATAGTAATGTCATAATGATTATGTATTAAAGCTAGTGCACTCAGTCTTTATTCTGTTTGTATATACCTCAGTTAATTATCCAACCAGCGGAGAACAGATGCCGAACGTTCACGAACGTGGCAGTGTGGCAAAGAGTTTCAGTAACATAAAGATAACTGGTACACTGAAGCACGCTTTTAAGCAGTCAGCTAGTATCTGGAGCCTGTCCAGGTGTGGTATAGAAAACCATCTTGTCTTCCATCGATGAAGTTCTTCATCAAAGATATCAGTATTTGGTAAATCTTCCCTATAAAAATCTATAGCCTGTCTGATATCAGAGATAGAAAACTCCTGTGTGAATTTTGATGGCATAAGTTTATGAATTGGTGCTGCTTGCTTTACATGTGTATCAAATCTGAAGGAAATATTACTGATAAAGTGGTCAGGAAAAATAATGGTTACCGTTTTCTCAAAGTAATCCTTCACGGAACTATATTTTTAATTTTTACGTTGGGCTTGTCGTTGACTAACTCGTGGCTTGCTAACATTTGTTTGCAATGTTACTGCTGTACTTGAAGATACGATGTGAATAATCATCTACGTTCACTTTCAGTCAAGTTAGTACTTTACAGCATTGTTCTATTAGGGAAACACCAGAAAACATGTCTTGAGTTGGACCTTCCAAATTTACAGAAGCTTCTTTTATATAGTAAAGGGAACATTGTAAAGCTGTTAAACAAAAAACGAATTCAAAGGATTCCAGTATTTTTAGATAAGTCATAGCATTTTTCTTATCTTCAGCAGCCTAAGTGTCATTAAACACTTGAAAATTATTATTTACATACACAATAGCCTCACACTTGCGAAGTAAGAATGGATGACATAAGCAGAACCTTTCCCAACCTTCAATATTCTCAACCCAGCATGTAATGCATACATTGAGTAGTGGAAGACGTGATGAAGCTTCTCCTTTCTGGATGCTCTTTTCATATATTGTCTTCAATAGTACCCCACGTTTAGTTGATTATTTAATCCAAATAGTTATTCCTTTAACTCGATCGATATAGTTTCGTATTGGTGGAACTGAATATGAATTTATATTAGCACGATTAAGTGATTGATCCGTGCAACGAATGTACAAGGCCTTGCTTTGCATATCTCGAATTTGTTTTTGGACACCAGGTCTTTCGCCAGACATGGTGAATACTCCATCATATCTCTGACCATGCAATTCATTTACAGTATATTTGTAATTGCACATACAATAAATGCTGCTCTGACCTTCTGTAGCTTATATATATATGTTCTTCCCTAATTTCACAGTTGTCATCTACAGAGTGGAGACATATTGGTAAATGATCTAGATTGTAAGAAGACACTTCATCAGAGTAGAATCCAGCCTTTTTTACTTCATCAATAATTTTTACACGTATTACATTATAGCCTATGATGTCATTTAGTGAGCATGAAAATAAATATGTAGCATAGAATGGTTGCTTCAAGTACAACAGATTTTTACCCAGTTGTTAAATGATTTGTTGCAAGTGCTACTTCATCACGTCGAGTATGCACTGGAAGAAGGGTAGCACAAGGACCACAAAAAATGCCATCAAAATTTGGGATATATAATAACCATGGGTATGTTTCAAGTGAAGCTATTCTAAACTTGTGGTTACACCCATGAGAAAAGGTGGTGGGAAAAACTTTTGGTGGTGCCACATGCTTATAAAGATAGGAATACTTTTCAGCAGTTGCTAAATTACTAATAACTTGGCATTTTTCATGAAGTGATTTTGTTGGTGTCAATAAATTGCCAATGCCAATGTATGGCTCATCAGTGACTATAGAAATACCATGACAAATCTATGATGACTCCACGATTGCTGTAGTGCTGTGCGATCGATGATGATGTTCCAGGAAGAACAGAGTTGTCAGTGACTGAAGCAGTTTGAGACTCAAGAAACCAGTTTGCATATCATCAATGCCATCACTTTAAGAATATATCTCAATTGTTTCAACCTCACAAGCTTCACATTTATCGCTAGCACCAAAGAAAGACAGATGGTAACTGGATTGTGTCATTATCAGTATCTGAAAACAAAAATATATAGCAATTTTAAAGAGGCGACCAATATATAGACTTAATATAACATTGTAGTTTATATGATACATAAAATCTATAGTAAAGATTATTGTTGTACTCATCTACATACAGATGAGTTATGTCATACATAAGTATTCCTGGGATTGAACACAAAATTTGTAATTTGAAACACCAGACATGGGCAAAGCACAACACAATGTAGCTATTCTAATTACATGCCAAAGGTTTCATTAGCAACTAAAACAGCAAAGCTGCTTAGCAATTTACCTTGGTCGTCATGTGCCAATCCTTTACTTTTGTTGGCAAAAAACATTCGTATGTCGCTGCAATCAATTTCACGTAGGCGCTTCATTCTTTTCAGTAAGATGTGTCGAAAGTCTAGCTTATATATCGTATACTGTGTAGTCTCGCGAACCAGAAACGTACTTGCATGATGGGTAATTTTCAAATGGGTTTAAGATTAGCACAATTCTCAGCTCCTTCCTTGTACGAAAATAAAAACCTACAAAAATGGTTAAATCTCAAACCCACACTCAGTTTATAGTTCTATTTCCGTGACACAACGAAGTTTGCTTTTGCTCAGAACCATGTATGTTAGATATACACCATTGTTTTAGTTTAATGGGAGAGTCATGATTTGGATAGTTTATATAGTGTGGGTGTCATACTTAATAATTTTTAAAAGGGAGAGTTTATGGCACGTTTGTTTACGTAATTATTTACGAATCATATGTTGTGCAGTGTGTACGTTCAATTGTTATGAGTAAAAAATGTAACGAACATTTGTATATATGCTTCACTTATTTTAATATATTATTTTGAAACAAGTGGACTCTGTTGCTGCTTATTTATTGTTGAAATTTATCGCCAACAAGTCACAGACTGTAAAGAATCCGGTCTACAAAACCTGACAGAAGCAATATGGCTTCGGCTTTTCATTACAAAGTGTCAACAGAAGCCATTGCATGTGACTATTTCGAACCAAAAAAATGCTAATGCTAATGAAGGTTATATAGAAAACGTTAAATACCATAAGCGGCTGTGCTATAACTACATAAGCATAAT